TGGAATGGGGTGCAGAGGATGGAGAGGATGGGTACAATGGTGGATTGGGGTGCAGGGATGGGTATAATGGTGCATTGGGGTGCAGAGGATGGGTATGATGGTGGAATGGGGTGCAGAGGTTGGGTATGATGGTGGGCTGGGGTGCACGGTGTTGGGTCCCAGGCTCCATGTGCGCTGCATGCGGGGCTTGAGTGTGGAGCCGCGAACAGGCAAGGTAATAGCAGAATAATCGGCGATCGAAAACATTGGTAACGTTTTCGATCGTCGATTTTAATCGACTAAATCGAATCGTTGTTGCAGCTCTATAGCTGATATGTTTTAACTTCAGTTGCCATAATAGTGACTTTTGTTGTTTAAAGAAATATAGGGGCCCGTCTACAGTAGATGAGGTGACAGGTGTTTTTCAGCAACTGAACAACGCTGGTCACCACTGGGGCACATGGAAAACCGTTGTTTTTTATGTTCACCGTTCACACTACAATGCTGGTGTGATCTGCAGTGCACTGCAAAAAAAAAATGCAGACATGCTACATTTTTTTTGCAGTGCAATAGACCATGCCGTAGAGCAGCACACAATCCTGCTGCTGTGCGAGAACCTAAATGGAGTGTACTCTTTATACATGCCAAATAAAGGAAACAAATCTAAACGGTGACGGCACTGGCAGTGTGCGGTACAGTGCTGGAGTTTTCTCAACACACTAGCCCTTCCACTATGAACAGGCCCTCCATTTTTTCTTGAAGCTTACAGTTTAGTTCATATATTGCATCACTTTCTGTTACATCTTTGCACTCAGGTAAGCTGAACCATATCTTGGCCAGTAAGAAAAAGAGAACCTAGCTGGATTTCATGCAAATTGGCAGAACCATGTTTTTTTCCAAAATCCACCCAAATAATCACAGTCACAACCAGCCAAATTACTCCAAAATCGGCACAGTCATGTACAGCTAAATTCTACTAACATTAGCACAGTAATGTCCATCCAAATTTCACCCAAATCAGCACAACCAGATCCATCCAAATTCCACTATGATTAGTCCAAGCACTCCCTACCATAACTCACACATGGCTTTCCAGTCAGATTCATATTTCAGCAAAACCACAAACATTGTTTGATGAGCCTCATTATTTAGCAGAGCTTTTCTGTGTTCTTTTTTGACAAAACTGGGGATATAGGGTGGTATTCAAATTGTAAAGGTGCAGTGTTTACACCAAATCAACACAGCCATTTCCAGCCAAATTCCACCCAAATCAGCACTGTCATGTCCAGCCCAAATCAGCACTGTCATGTCCAGCCCAAGTCCACCCAAATCGGCACAGTCATGTCCAGCCCAAGTCCACCCAAATCGGCACGGTCATGTCCAGCCCAAGTCCACCCAAATCGGCACGGTCATGTCCAGCCCAAATCGGCACAGTCATGTCCAGCCCAAGTCCACCCAGATCGGCACAGTCATGTCCAGCCCAAGTCCACCCAGATAAGCACAGTCAGGTCCAGCCCAAGTCCACCCAGATCAGCACAGTCAGGTCCAGCCCCAGTCCACCCAGATCAGCACAGTCAGGTCCAGCCCAAATCGACCATAATTAGTCCAAGCACTCCCTACCATAACCCACGCAGGCCTTTCCAGTCAGACTCCTATTTCAGCAAAACCACAAGCATTGTTTAATGAACCTCATGCGAGTCCAGTTGCCTTGACTTGTTTTTTACAGATATTTTCTGTGGTCTGTTCTGACAAGACTGGGTATATATGGGGTGGTATTCAAATTGTAAAGGTGCAGTGTTTACCTAATATTGTTTCTGTTTTATGTCTTCAGGGAACTCCTGAATTTGTGAAATTTGATGAATGTGTAAATTACTTTGAATGGAGAACATTCACTGCTTGCAAGAAGAACAAATTTAAGCCTATCGAAGAGGTAAAGTGCAGGTTTATGATTAAACCAACATTATCCTTTTCTGTGTGTATGCAAGGAACAATGTCTACAATGATGAGAAATGTAATGAAACTGCTCTTACCATTCCTACATAGACAGTTGTGTATTTGGGGAAAGTTACTCCCCTTTTCTGCTAATGCTTGGAGTCCTTGATGCGAAAAAAAAAAAGAACCCTTTATGTTGTATACAAATCCTATGCAAAAGAGCCACTCAAACATGACTACTGTTTGAATGATCACTGCCAGTTAAAATAAACATTCATTGTAACTTTGCAAAATGTTTAAGTTGCACTTATGGAGCCTCTGGAGCTCCATGCACTAGACATACACTGTTCAAATTTCAGCTGAGTACTGCTAACGCGGGCCAAATTCAAACAGTGTGTGGCCCAGTTGGCACCCTTCTGGTCAACAAAAGCGGAGCAGGTCTGAAAATTATTTGCTGAACAGTGACTGCAGCCAATCAGTTGAACTCATTGTTTGGGTATGCTGACAGTGGCACACCTGCCACTAGCAGAATACAATAGCCCAGAGGAGTGGGGGGTTGCTGTGTAGCATGAATGGGGATCGAGCATCTCTTGTGGGCCGCATGAGAAAAAATGATCAGTGTACGGCCAGCCTGCACTCGGATGTACACATGCCGATTTTTTTCATGACTTCTTATTGACTGCCCTCTCTATTTGGCCAAGAATTTTCCAACTTGCTCCTTTTCATCAGGCGATCGAGGGATGCCAGATGGAAGTGTGAAATTTGTACCAGGTGTACCCTACTTTAGTCTAGATCACAGTTTTTTTTACAGTGAACTTATCCTACCAAAAGCAGAAGCCAGTAAAGGTGACTGTGTCCCTAAAAGTGGAAATATACTTTAAAAACAACATCCTGCCCTGGGAGGTGTGTCGTCTGCCTGTTACATTACAACGGCTGGATGGAAAGTGGTTTAAACAGGCTTCAAGGTTTCGTAAGATTCAGCAATACTTGTTGAAAGCCTGCCGAAGCTGTTACTTTAAACCAGTTGCTAGCAGGCTAACACTCCCATTAAATTCTATGTTAAACCTCCCCAACTGGAGCTGAAGAGCGATTTAACCACTTCTAGCAGGTTCACGTAAATACACGTCCTCCGCTAGAAGTGGTTATACCAAGAACACGGCTGCTGCTGCTGGCGATTGCTGTTTCTGTACAAACGATTCGGCGTCTGTACGGTGCTGCACTGTTTCCCCCCCCCCGCCGCCGGCTTCCCCGGGCTCCGCTGTCCCCCATCCCCTCGGGACTGGCACGGCGGATCTCCCCCGACAGATCAGAGGGACATCATAAGGCTTCTAGCAGCTTATCTTTCCTCCGATTTACTGGACCCTGAAGTGATGTGTCACTGTTTACATTCTCCGGCTCTTAGAGCCAGGAGAAGAAGCTGGTGAAGTAGATCTCAGCTTCATCAGCTTCTTTGAGGTCCCTAGGTGATATTTAAGGGTCTGAAAGACTCCTGATGTCTCCATAAAGAGGACCTGTTTATCCTATTTGCTATTACGTAAGGGGATTGTTGGCCCCCTATGTAATCGCAATAAAGTTGAGTGTAAAAGAAAAAAAATGTAAAAATGAACGTAACATAAAAAAAAAGATTTAAATCCCCCACGTGCACGCACAAACATGCGTTGGAGGCACTTGCATGCAAAAACAAAAATTGCACCACACATGTTGCATATCGCCGCAAACCTCGGCGTGAGAGCAATAATTCTAGGGCAATCAATCACTGCTAACACTAAACTGATGAATAGTAAAAGCTTTTAAGCATCGCTTATTGGAAATTTTGGGTGTTGTAGTTTTTAGCAGTTTCACGGGCACATGCAATTTTAAGGCTTGACATGTTTGGTATCTATTTACCAGACGTGACCCCGTCTTTTATATTTTACCAAAAAATTGGGTATTGTATAGCGTTTCTGTGCACTGAATTTCATTTTAGTGTATTTAATCCTAAAAATACGGGTTTGATAAACATTTGCACAAATACCGTGCGACATAATAAATTGCAACTAGCATCTTTTTATTCTACAGGGCCTCTGCTTTCCGAAAATATATAATTGTTGGGGTTTTAAGCTGTTTTAAGCCAAAAATTTGTATTTTATCGTGCGTTAATATGAAGAAATTGCTCCGGACGGCAAGTGGTTAAAGGCTTCAACAAAAGCTGCTCCAAACTGGCTGAATGCTTTGCAGATGTTTTATTAAAAAAAAAGCTTGCGGTACACATTGCTGCTTCACTATGTGTATAATGTGCAAGGCCTGAAATCTAAAATGGTTGAAAAGCTTAAATATACATGTAACAAATATGCTTCTGTTTAGGTTCCATGTTACGTTTTTGATGTTGATTATAAGAAGCATGATTTGAACCCGTTGATCAGGACCTCTGGAGGATATTTGGTGAATGATTGGGATCCTGATTCAGAATTGTACATTAACGTTTGTCGAACAATTGGTGAGCACTTCTTAATATCGGTTATGTTGTTGTACATCTTATGATTGTGTCCTTTTTCTTGAAGTACAGAAACAGACAGACATTTCCCAGCACACTCACCAGCCAGCCCTCAAAAGAAATACACTGTCCAACCACTAAGGTTACAAACAGAGGTTTTAGTTGCACAACTTTTGGAAAATATGTGGAAGTTGCACTGCTTCATCAAGGCCCCTCTGTATAGTGTGGTTGTTTGTATTTGTCCTGTGTAAAGCCCTTCCATGTGCACCCTTGCCTTAAAGCTAGTTATGAATTGAAGAGTGTGTTTGTCAATTGTTTCACTTGTTGGATTTGGTGTTGGGGACACACTGTGGGCCTCAGCTGTCATTGTGATGTGCTGAGTTCCTGGTGTGTCCCTGTGCCTTTTAAGCAGGTTGGGCCACCTCCTGGCAAACCTGCACCCAATTCATCCTTTGCTATGAAAATGCTACATAGATTAGAGTTAGGACCGCACTATACAGAGGGGCCTTGACAAGGCAGTGCTGCTTTCACATATTTTCCAAAAGTTGTGCAACTAAAACCTCTGTTTTTAACCTTATAGTGAGACAGTAGGGGGGGAGTTTATCAAAACTGGAGCAGATTTGCATTGCAACCAATCTATCTCTCATTTTCAAATCCCAACTGAGCAAACTGAATAGTTTGCCATGGGCAACTGCTCCAGTTTCTGTTTGCTCCAATTTTGATAAATTCCCCCCATTGTACTTTTTTTGCAGGCTGGCTGATGAGTGTGCTGGGAAGTGTCTGTGTTTGTTCTATGCCCTTCCATGTGCACCTTGCCTTAAAGCTAGTTATGAATTGAGGAGTGCTTTTGCCAAACGTTTCACTTTTTCTTGAAAGACACTTGCCTCTCCACTTCTCCTTTTAACATGTACAGAGGAAGTATGAAAGCTGCCACGGATGGCCTCTTTTCCTGAAAATGCTAATTCTCTAGCTGATTCTGTGGCTTAATTACTTCCAGTCGCTGATCTGGAACACATTTCAGATCGGGAGTTTTGATCCTGACTTTACTAATCTGCTTGCTTCTTCGGTCCGTGATCAGAAAATGCTCAATCTAGGGACACTGAGGGATCTGGCAGCCTCTGTACAACGCTCAGTTAAAGTTTCCATTTGACTTGGAAAGAAAACATATGTAATAAAGTTCCTTTTTGCCTTACTTTGCACAGAACGAACATACACAGAGGGAAATTTATCAAAACTGAAGCCGATTAGAAACTGGAGCAGTTGTTGTCCATGGCAACCAATCAGATTCTCTCATTTTCAAAGCTTAACTTTACAAACTGAATATAGAAGCAGATTGGTTACTATGAGCAACTGCTCCAGAATCTGTCTGCTTCAGTTTTTATAAATCGACCCCTTAGTGTTTTAATTTTGGATGCAAATGTTCATTTAATATTGCAAGCTGTTTTATTTATTTAAAAAAATAAGTTAAAGGAGAATTATGAGGCGAGTGATTTTAACTCAGCCTCATAATCTGAGCCGACCTGTGTCAATGAAACTGTCACAGCTTGGCTCAGTAGATCGGGAAGTGAGCTCACTTCTCGATCTATCCCTGCAGAGAGCTGTGACTGTCACTCACGGATCCCTGCAGGGATTCCCCCCCTCCCCGCTCCGATCCTCCAGCGCTGACTGGCCGGACGGGGGAGGGTACAGCTGGCTCTGCCGGCTGTGGCATCTCAGTATACCGTGAGCTGTAGCTCGCAGTATACTGAGCTTTGGGTCACGGGAGGACGCTAGTTTGTGTTCTCCCGTGACCCTTAGGAGAACTATGGAGAAAAGCCCTGACCCAATAGTTCTCTAAGGGTGGCACACAGATTTTTTTTTGGGTCCCTTTCACATGGGCGGCTCCATCAGTTCTGCCTATTGGGTTTTCAGACGGACCCGATCGGATGCCCAATGGTAGTCTATGGGCAGCCGGGTCTAAACGGACACTCGGCCATTTACAACCAGTTACCCCCGGCTCTGGTTAGGTCCGAAAAAACAAACTACAGTGTTTTGTTTCCTTGGACCTGATTGTTTCCGGTTCGGGGAGAAATCTGATGTAAACAGACACATGTCCCTTTTGTATTTGATTTCCCATAGACCAAGTGCGGCAGGTTCAGAAAAGACTGAAGGACACAGATGTCACAATGACATGGGATCTGTACTGCTCCGATCAGTAGGGGATCCGTGCACAGATCCCTTCCTGATCAGCCGGTGTAAAAAGGGGCCTTACATTAGTTTCCAGTGTAAAGAGAGAATCACATGCCATAGTTACCAACTGTTTCCAATTTCCATACACTTATGATTTTTTTTATTTGTATTTTTTTAGATTTATCCCTGTCATGATTCCCCTTTTAATAATGATCCATTTGTCTGATAGTATAAAAACAGCAGTTACTTGTATAGGCCACATAAGGAGCAAAAGGTTAATATGAATGACCAGAAAGAGAAATGACAGTGTAAGGGCCTATAGGACGAGAAAAAGTGGTAATAGTAGCCAGCTTCTATATGCTACACATGAGTGGATACCTGAATGAAACATCCATCACAGTTGATTGGTACCTCTAGAGATCATAGAAGAGCTAATGTGTGTCAAAATGAAGTTCCCCCTTATGCGTGTCAGGCTTTGTTTTGCTCTATAATTTCAAAGAATATAATAAGCTGTCAACTGTTTTATGTTTGTCTTTCATCTTTGCTTTACATGCTGTTTGTTCAAGCAGGTTTACTAGGTTTCTATAGTCTCTCTGATATTGAATGGCTGTGTATAATGTATTGCAGTTGTGTATGTATTCTGCAGTATATAATTTCCTCAAGTTCTTTTCTTTTTCTTTGAAAAGGAATCTCAGAAGGAGACACATCAGTTTGTCCAGCAGCAAGTTCTGCATGTCTTGTTAAGGATGGCAAGGCTTATGATATTGGGCGGCCAAAGGAGCCTCTTAAATCTGTTGTGAAAGAGAGGTAAATTTCATCTCCTTGTGCAGATGTTGTAAAATTGAATTGATATTCAAAAGGTCTATTTTTTGTGTTGGATATATAGATGAATGTGATCCACTAAATAGTAAAATATTGTTATGTTGAAGGTTTAAAATCCCTTCTTTCTTGTTCATTGAAGGACACAGGATTCAGAGACAATTGGGTTAACACTGCAACTTATAGGAGGATTTGTACGCTGGCAGAGAATTAAAACAGGGATCCATACTGGTATAACACCTTCCACTCCCAGCATGCCCCAGCATGCAAGGAGGGTGGATACATTTTCTCTACTAAGAAAAGTTATTTTCTTAATGTTATAATCGGGCCTGTTAGCTTTGCCGTGTTGCCCACCCCTCAGTTGGACTGCTTTTGGATGTCCCAATTGTCTTTGAATCCTGTGCCCCTCAATGAATGAGAAGGAAAGTTTGGATTTTTGTACACTGTGTGTATGGTAAAATCCTTTTCTTGGAAGATCGTTGAGGGACACAGGTTCCACGCATCTGTGTTTCTGTTCTTGCTCTCAGCTCTGATTGTTATAAAACAGAGGCATTCTGAGAGTGGGAGAGGTTATACCAGCTGACTTTTTATGTTTGCCAGTGTAGAATTCCTCCTGTACGTGGCAGTATAACACAATTGTTTACAAATCCTGTGTTGCTTAGTGAACTTCCAAGAAGAGGTACAAAAATCCAGTTTTCTCTGTAAAGTTTGCAGTTATTGTGGATGCATGGCACAGCCATGTTTGCTTTTTACATGGGCAGAATGTGATTCTTCCTTTTAGCAGTGCTGCACATTACTGTACAAATGTTAGGGCTTGTTCACACCCTGTCTGTGTTTTTCTGCACGCCACCACGCATGTATGATGTCAACAGGGCACATAGAAAACCAATTGTCACACCATACCATGGTGGATTGCAGAAAAGGGCAGATCAACTGACCATGGTGGGAACAAGCCTCATGCCTGCATAGACTGAGTGAATTCTTGATTGCTAAGTGATTTTGTCCTAGCAGTTGTGTATCTAGAAAGGTAGAGGTAGCCCCTAAAATGAGATTCTATAGATGTGTGCAGTCATTAAAATTGAGTATCAAGAATGTAAAATGTGAAAATCACAGTCCAAGTGACGGTTGGTGATCACTTGAAGAGTTCTAAAAGTGAATCACACACCATACAGCGTTGTGACCAGTGTAGATGAGATAGGTGATCATAGTGACCTTCACGGATGGCACCGTGCAGAACCTCGGAGACCTGAAGATATGTAACCAGCACTCCAAAATGCAAATAAAATATTGTTTATTGCAGATAACATCACAAAGGTCAAAATAGCCAACATTTCGGGGCTGTGCGGTGTCCCTTCCTCAGGTCGACACTGTGACAAACACATGTGTTCACATACTGTACCTTATCTGAACCTTTAGCAACCCCAAAGCCGGGTAAGCTGATATGTCAATAGCAACTACAAAAACTTAAGATCTGTCTGGCCCTGCTATCTCCTGCACCTCCATACAACCTACAAGTCCTCATCTCATACTTATGGGGAAATAGAGAGATGTGGGCTGTTGAATGGTATGCAGCCTTTCATAACTTCAGATCCTAAAGCCACCATTTGCATTCCTGTTCACAAAGGCTTTGGGAATGCTAAAGCAGTACTTCATCTATGTGAACACACAAACCATGACCTGTACGTTTCCTACTTCCCATCACTGATGCACTTTTACCACTTTAAGGCCTTACAACTAGGCCATTTACACCTAGGCTATTGTAGCTCCTTTCCCTAAGCTCAACACCACTCAACGCTCAGGTGTGGACAGGGTCCATTGAAAACAATGGGATTCCTCTTGTGTCACTTGTCGCCAGTTGTGTGAAGCTTGAGCACACAAGTTTCTTTTTGGGTGGTATCACACATTTTGACCTCATAGACCTTAGTGGAAGCACCGGAAAAACAATGACGCTCCCATTTAAAGTTCTGAGTGGCCAAAATGCATTATTTTGCTTATGTACTTCACACACAAAAACGCTTGAAAAATAAATATACAAGAAAAGCCTCTACATTGCTTGGATATGCTTAAGTTGGGTATACACGCTTCAATTTTCTTCCTCTAACCTGGCTGCTTACGCACGTTGATCGAGGGATCTCTTGCTGTGGCGGCCGCTGTCGGAATACCCGAACAGAGCTGGCATCTCATTGGCTGCTAGCTCTCTTCTGCCGATCGTTTTCCAGCATGCTTCTTAGATCAGCCGATCGAGGGATGCTGGTCACATCGAGTGTTGGCCGGTTCATCAAGAACTGGCTGAAATTTGAAGCGTGTTTACCAGACTTTAGTTGTAAATGGAGCCAAAGGTGTTCCCAGTGTCAATTTACTCTTGTACAGCATCTCAGAATCTGTACTTAGGGATTACCTGTTCTGGAGTACAGGATATACTGTAGATGGTTTGGGTGTTTTTTTTTTGTTTTTTTTAATAAGTATTTGCTGTGAAGACTGCTCTTTGTAAATTTGACTGTTGGCTCTTTTAGCCTAACGTTTTAACAAAGTGCAGCTCTAACAATTGAGGTAGTTCAGTGTATATGTGACACATACCCTAGTTCCTCTGATATCTTGCTTGAAAGGCCTGGTATGAGAGACCTCTGGGTCCCCTTGGTCCCTCTTCTCTTTTCACTAGGTGAAGTTGGTATTAACAAAGAAAAATCAGAACCCTGGAAGATAGAGGAAGAAAGACTTTTGAGTCATGCAGTCTGACTCCCTAGTCAAAGAGACTTCTGGGAACTGCAAATGTTCAGTTCAGCTGTGTGCAGAAGTGACTACGGTCCCGTTCCCCCACCCCACCTGTCCCTGCTTTCCCTTTTTTATATTCCTTTCTTTTTCATTTTTGTAGTCTGCTTAAAAGATTTGTGTTCCACTAACCGATTGTTCTTCCGTTTTTAGGCTTGTTCTTCACTATGAAACGGACACAAAGCCGCCTGATTTTTGTAATAATCATCAGCCAGCCGTAACTATAACATTTATCTGTCCAACAGCGGGAACTGAGGTTAGTGCCGTTTTACCTTTTTAATGTTGCTGGTTAAGCTAGGCATGCATGGAATAATTTTTTATACTGTACTAAAAAAAAGTAGGCAACCTCATCACTTTGTGTCGTGGAACTACAAGTTCTATGAGGCATTGCAAGACTCTGACAGCTACAGGCATGACTCCTGGAGGCAGAGGCATGCTGATATTTGTCGTTTCACCACAGATCGAGTGCCGAGTTTGCCTAATCCTGCTGTACAATAACAGGTCAAAGATTATCTAATTTACCATATAATTGGTGACCATCTTATACATACAGCGAAACGCCAACTTTTACTGAGTGACAGATTTCAGCTGCTTTATATTGTAAATACTTTACAGGTTCTTTTAACTTAGAAAGTGCCACAGTGAGAGGGATCATGTACTACATTATGTCATGATGCACAAAGCTGGTTCACTAGAGAATAAAATAGATTTCAAGTGGAAAAGTCACTTTAAATTTTCACTTTATTGCATAGTCTAGCAGTGGCCTCTGGTCTAGCAGTGGCCTTCTCATACTGCAGGAGGCCTGGTACACTGAAAAAGAATGATGTAAAACATAAACAAAAAGGCCCCCTGTGGTATCTTGGACAAGGTTTAAAACAGAGAGCACAGACACCGCTTTCTCAATTCCCAGTGGCCTTCATTCATCATACGACTCTTATTGAGTCTATTTATTAAAGAAAAATGTCATAGTTTTCCGTCCAGCTAAACTGTATGTACATTTATTCTGTCTGTGTGAATCACTCAGCTGTTGAATGGGGCAATAGCGAAGGCTGTTTTCTGTTATGGTCATTTGCTCTTCTATATTATGCTGAAATATTACGAGCGGTAGTGAATCAGGAAAATACTGTGTTATGGCCACTATATAGAGCTGAGGATCACATGCAATGATTACATCTTAGTCACAAGATACAATGTACCAATTCTAGAGAACGCAGTTAAATTGGAACTATAAGATTGTGAAAAGCAGGGCTACCCCTGAATTGCAAGGGTTAAGTGCTCGTTTTGTCTAGGGGGCAAAAATAAAGGAAAAAATAAATCACCTTATCCTTGGTTCCTAGACCAGGGTGTGCAGCCTCTTCTCTGAGCCCCAGCAGTCTAAAGACCAGTGACATCATCATGTAGCCTAATACAGGGCTATTACATGGAAAGACGCTGAGGGACATGCCACAATTGAGCGGAGTGGGGGAGAGGTGAGCAATCACTGCCGCAGGATTGAGGATTTCTTTTTTTTTTATTCTTCTTTATCTTCGCCCCTAGAGAAAAATGGCCAGCTAACCCTTGCATTGCGGGGGTAGCCCCACTGCATGGGTTAATCTTTCACAATTCTACTTTAAATGTAATCATTACTACTGCGGGGATCCCTGTATCTCACAGCAGTCAGTTAATTCATACAGAACAAATATACATGCATGTTTTGCGGGACAAATAGCTCTGCAAATTGTTTTTATACACTATATATAGATCTATTTCCCCTTACTACTTGTTCCTTTGACACCCAGGACTTTTGCCGTGAGTTAAACCTCCTGCTTCCCCCTTTTTATATATTTTTTACATATTCATATTGAAAGTTTGCCCAGTTTCACTGTCATTAGCTTGTAAGAATACAATTTGAATGCACTGCAAAGAGGGGAAATAACGTTTTAGTCACAGCAGAGGCCTGCATATTATTGGGACAGGAAGCAAAGGGAAATTTCCCTGGCAGGGCCGGATGCAGTAGTTAAAATTGACAATCTTTCAACTCCCCACTCTAAAAACTGACACTCACATTTCAGCTGAGTTTCTATTTGGGCATTGATTATTTCCCTGGTTCTCATGATACTGAATACTTGAAAGAATATTAGTAGTTCCTAAAATTTTTGTTAAGTGCGCTATGCAAAAAAGCAGAATTTATGTAGCGTTGCACATTTTACCATCATTTAGGTTACAAGCCCAAGACTAACTGCCAACACCAATTGCCGCTATGAGATTGAATGGGTCACGGAGAATGCCTGTCACACGGAATACCTGGAAAGCGATGACTGCAAGCTCGTCAGCAAGGAGAGAGGCATTTCTATTGACCTAACCCCCCTAAAGGGAAAGTCTGGTAAGGCTTTTATTGAGAAGCGGATGTTTTTATGGATGTGTTATGAAATACTCTCCTGTTATAACAGTAGCATTGCAATAGGAATACATAGAGTTGTTTTTGATGCAGTCAAAGCTTTCTTGAAGAAAAAAACAAAAAAAAACTCTTTTATATAGTGAGCGCTGCCTTCCATCTGCCCATCATTTTCACTAGCTTCCAAGATTCCCAGTGTGCTTTTCATCCCTTTTCCTGCTGCTTGATGTGATGCAATCTTGATTTCTCAAGACTACATAACCCATAATGCATTGCTACCAGCAAGCAATGATAAAGATACATTATTCAGGTGTTGAGTTGTAGTTCAGAAGGCAGGCTCTGTAAGTGTTGTGACACAAGGATATGCATATTCACAGGGCTGAGTGCAATTGTGTCCGTGTATTGTGGAAGTACGTATTATGGGCATCTTCAATAAGGAAGTTTGCAAACTTCTAGATCAATATGGTTTTTAGGAGAGGGATAGAACTTATGAAACTTCAGTATCGAAATACATTTTCTTTTTTTTAGTTTTTGATACTCTTTAACTGTACTTTTGCACACAAAAAAATCATTCCTGCAACAAACGGCTGTTGTGTTGCGAAACTGTGACTCTAAGGTTGTATGAAAGTGGGACCGAGACTAACACACACAGGTTTCTTTTGTTCATGCTGCGAAGCCTCTAATAAATTCCTCTATCCATGCTAAACAGCGTGGCTTGAGGAATCACTCCTGACAACTATTGTATTATAACAGCGGGCGCCCGCTGCTGTCTGAATACTTAAACAGCGACTTTTCACAAATAGCTGTAATACCCTCTAGGACAAAATAAAAATCTTCAATACCACATAAGACTATGCCCACGTACAGACCAGGTGGCCCTCTAGCAACGTCAGCGCGAAATTATAGCTAATTATAGCAAATTTGCCTACAAACGTCAGGTGGTCATAATAAGCTGGTCACTCGGTGTATAAAAAGTGGTCACGCTGCAGAGACTGCCCAATCACATATGATTATGGAAACTAAATTGTATGAACACTTTTTCCATTTTTGTGTTCTAGCCAGTCCTTACCATGTAGAAGATGAAAAAGGTGAATACGTGTATTACCTGAATGTTTGTGATAAGGCAAGTGGAGGAGACTGCTCGGGTGAAATGTCTTCCTGCCAATATAAGAAATCTGGTGGCCAGAGTAAAGGTGCTGGGTCCTATAAAAATCAGACCCTCAGGTATGTTAATCACACACTGTGCTGTGCCCTTTATTGTGTTCAGCTCCTATTATATTTGGTACTTTTATTGGGATTGTCTCCTTGGTCAGTGCACTGCTTTTTGTTGGACTTTTTGTTGAAGCTGAATTACAGGCAGGTATAAAAGACACGCACGTGTTTATGCAGCTTTGTGTTTATCAATGCATTGTCACTTTTATTCTGTTAGATGCAGGCAGGACAAGTACCTGAATTTGACTTGGTGTCTTGCAGTCCCTGCACAGCAGAGTTCAGACTGAGAGCAACACAGAGCCAATCAGTTGTGCTGCAGTGCTTGCCTGTTAGCGAGAAACACTGCAGCTGTCGCACGCCGGCTCTGTAGATCGAGAACTGAGTGATCACAAACCGCTGATCACTCTACTCCCTGCAGAGAGAGGGGGATTCCCCCAGCTGGCTGGATGGACAGACAGGAGAGAGGGTGGGCACAGCTGGCTGGAGGGACAGACAGGGGAGAGGGTGGGCACAGCTGGATCTGTCTCTAGAGAGGCAGAGCCAGCTGTCAATCAGGAAATGGGATGGATCTCGACAATATTGTCAATCTTTCCAGGCTGCAGTGCAGCTCTGCATTGTCGGCAAATAGCAATGAGTAGCCTGCTATATGCTGACTTTGGATGACCGGAGTACATTAGTAAATGTACTCCTTTGACCCAAAAGAGGAGTAAAGCCAAAAAATAAGTGTTGGATTTAGTTCTCGTTCAAATTTGATACACCTGACTTTCCCTCTGGGACCTGCCCCCTTGTTGTCCAGTAGGACTGCATCAATGGCCACTAAAATGCACTCTCAGTGGCCTTCATGTTTTTTCTTAGGTACTCTTCAGGTTGACTATATCAGGTAACCCAATGCTGGACAAACCCCAGGGGTCAGATAGCCAATGCTCCTTAAAATTTACAGGCTCCTAATCTTAGATTTTCTCTAGCTGTCAATGGACAGACTGGCTCCTGAATTCCATATTAAGTTGGCCACCCCTGACATACACTATATGTTAGATTTTAGATATTCGATATTAAAATGTTATTAAAAATGTTTTCAATGCTCAACTAATATACCTCCAATAAAGTATCACTGCTGGAACGCAACACCAGCCAAACAACATAAAACAAAGGTAAAATGCAAATAGGAACTGTTTTACCTTCCAAAGAATTTGTAATTTTATCCAGCCAGTTCTGTAATCCTGGTACCACTGCCAGACAGCACAGCCAGTTTGGTGACCTCACTTTTCTCTGTGCACTCAAATGTCTCCCTACCACCCCCCAGCAGTGAAGGAGCTGCATATGACCTCATATATTGCTTATATTATCGAAGGCATATTGTAACATGCAGTACAAAAAATAGCTTACTCTACAGTCCTGCATCCTTCTTTCTGCTAGTTCCAGTAGTGAGGACCAGTCCCAAAACTTTCTTACCACCCTTCTTGACTGTCTCCAACCAGATGTGCCACTCTCGCTGATGTCATCACCTAAAATGCAGGTTCACCAGCCACCACTGGTCCTGTATTATATGTGATGTTGTCACAGTGCCAACCCACATTCCACGATGGGGGCAAATAGCCAGAACAATGGAATAAGGTGCGGTTTTGGATGTACTCCAAGAAACATATTCCTTTTTTTAACGCTTTAGACCCAGGTGGGCAAATCCGGCCCCCAGCTGTGCTTTTAACTACAAATTCCAACATGCCTCTGCCTCAAGCAGCTATGCTTATAACTGTCAGTCTTGCAGTGCCTCTTGGGACTTGTAGTTCCACAAAAGCCCAGACAAAACAAGCATTATATTCTACATAAACCTTACGGAAGGGGGTTTACAATATTTATAATTTCTTAAATGCCCAGTAGTCTGCTTTATCCGCTGATGACAGCTATTAATTTAAAGGGGACAGTCTGCTGAACAGTTCTACTATAAGCTGATGGTCGCTAAAGCGACCATCAGCTTATAGTAGAACTGTAAATGCCAGGTCCGTACGACGTACTGAGCTGGCCAGCTGGAAGCACTTTTGTAGCTCCGTACGTCCTTGGCAGCGAAATGGTTAAGATGCTGGAATCAGTCAAATACCATAAGAGCCATAGATGTCGTTTACCCCCTCCTCAAATACCCCAAGATCATATGCGGAATTATAATTTTTATCTTTGGGAATTATTAGTTGAAATGTTTTTCATTTTGATCTTTCGTGATTATGGTTCAAATGTAAAAGATATGGAGCTGTTTATTAATTTTTCTGATGTCTTTACTTAGATATTCTGATGGTGACATTACTTTGACATATCCTGGAGGAGAAAAATGTAGCTCTGACTTCCAGCGAATGACTGTGATTAATTTTGAATGTAATGAAACTGCAGGTAAAGATGTATTCTGTTCAAGAAATAATAGCTGCATTATTCTATATATACCATTTACAGAGCAAGGCACCCATTGTATAAAGAAATAAGTAAAAGATAAACTCCGGACAAAACTTTTATTAAAGGAGAATTATGAGGTGAGTGATTTTCACTCAGCCTCATAATCTGAGCCGACCTGTGACAATGAAACTGTCACAGGTCGGCTCAGTAGATCGGGAAGTGAGCGAACACAAACCGGCGCTCGCTCACTTCTCAATCCTGTGCCGGCAGAGAGCCGTGACAGGGGAGGGACTGGATTCCCCCCTCCCCTGTCCGATCCTCCAGCGCTGACTGGCGGAACGGACTGGGGACGGGGGCGGGTACAGCTGGCTCTGCCTCTAGATAGGCAGAGCCAGCTGTCACTCACGCAGCTGGGTGGATCCATACAGAATTGTCGTGATCCGTTCCGGCTGCGGCATCTCAGTATACCGCGCCTGTAGCTCACGGTATACTGAGCTTTGGGTGACGGGAGGACGCTAGTTTGTGTCCTCCCGTTACCCTTAGGAGAACTACGGGGAAAAGCCCTAACCCCATAGTTCTCCTATAAGGTCAATATTTGTTAAAGCTAAACTTGTGAAAGGTTGACTCTGTATAGGAGCATCCTGTAATAATGACCAGTCACTGCGGCTCTCTTTCCTTGTGCAGGGTGTCTGGTCTTGTATCCGCCCCCCTCCTGTTGTCAGACTGTAGTGGGTTGAGCCTGCTGGGTCCCTCGCACAGTTCTGCTCTCTGCACAGGCTATGTACAGCACATTGATGATGCCACCATTACATTCATATATGGCAATATCTATGCAGAAAAAACATTTTCGGTTCAGCTGTAATGCTGGAGTGTTAAACAAGCTGACAGTTTTAGCTTTTGGGGATTGTATTATTCAGATGCCTGTACGCGAGTTCCCGGGACAGCACATCTGCTGTTGCCACTATTTTTTATAACTGCAAGCTCCGTTTCTTTGCTTTTTTCAGAAATATTTTTGGGGAACAAGACTGTATTGCTTTATGTAACTGTCTTGTTTTGCTGACTATTGAAGATCTCCAAGTTCCTACAATGAATCTTTTCTCTGATTTTTATTTTCTGTTGATTGAAATTTCAATGTTTAAAAATAATACAATGCACTATTTTGTTTTAGTGAATGATGGGAAAGGAGTGCCAGAATTTGATGGTGAAGCTGATTGCACTTATTTCTTTTCGTGGGAGACCAAATATGCTTGTCCTAAGAAGAAGGAGGACTTGTGTCATGTTGAAAGCAAGAAAAAACACTTTAACCTTTTGGATTTAATCCGCAGTCCTGGTAAGTGTCAGTTCTTCCAGGTGTCTTTAACTGCTTCAGGACCACAACAACATATTGGTACTGTTCTTTTCAGCCAACTGTCGGCTTTAACATACAAATGTTTACTTGTATACTGCCAAACAGTGCGGTAGTTATATGTGGCTGGATTGGAGGAAGATCAGCACACTTCCAGTGGTTGATCTTGTTAGCCCGCTATGGGATATTATTAGAGTTAATTGTTTTGTTAAAAAAAAGAATTTACAAAATGATAGTGACACCTACACGCGTCAGCAGTACCTGTGTGTAAACAATTGCGCTACAGTTACATATCTCAGCGTTAAAATTTTAGCATATTTTTTTTCTAAATAAATCAATTTAATAAACATTTGCATTTTGTTTCCTGCGCACGCCCGGCAGGAAACACCCGTTCTTTCAGCATAACCGTTACCGGCTGTTTCTCATACAACCGATCAGCGACCTCTATAGCCGCCGCTGATTTGATCTGGCGCAACACCCCCCGAGTGCCGCCGCCACTCCTGACCCCTCACCTTCAAATCGCCGGGATCCGCTATCCCATCAGCGGCCCGGGACGGCGATCAGCATCTTCTTCCTCCTTGCTGATCTCCCTCCGTATGGTGAATGCAGAAGTGACGTGTATTACATCACTTCCGCATTCACCTGTCAGTCATCTGGCTGCTATAGCCAGAGAAAAGAAGCTGATAAAGCAGATAAGCTTTTAAAGCGTCGCCCATGGCCAATTTTGGCTATGGTAGTTTTTTGAGGTTTTGCGCGTGCAATTTTAAGGCTAGACATGTTTGGTGTCTTTTTACCCGACGTGACCCCGTCTCTTATATTTTACCAAAAAATTGGGTAATAATAAATGTTTTATAATTTAATATATGGGAAACTTTTTTTTTCTGTAATTTTTCCTTAATATAGTAAAAAATTAAACCCCAGTGGTGAATAAATACCACCAAAAGAAAGCTCTATCTGTCCCTAAATAATGGTATAAAATTCATTTCAGTACAGTGTTGCATGACGGAATAAATGTCAAAGTACCACAGTGCTGAATACTGAAAAATGGCCTGGATGGGAAGGGGGTGTAAACACCGCGGAGTTCAAGTGGTTAAAGGACATCTTCACTAAAAGCACTGCTCTGGGGATCGTCACTGTGTGGCCCTCCCTTTTGATTTAGGAAAAAGTCCCAGCCATGCTCTGCGCCTACTGCTCATGCATGCCACTCGTCTCATTCATTCCTATGGCTAGATTCATATTCCTCTGATAGGCCATGAGTAAGGACCAGCCATAGAATGAAAACGAGGCCACAGAACAGATGTCCATTTGGCTGAGACTTTTCTTAATGCGGAGGACTTTTCCTATTACAGGGCAGTTTGCCATGTATAGTTTAACTGACTCACTATGTGAGTGATATCTGGTCTCAGCACCAGAGGGATGGCACGGAAAGTGATCAGTAGTAATCTACAATTTCTTTACATTTAATAACAAAAAAGGCCAGACGTGTAAAATTGTTAATGCTATTAAAATACTTGCTAGGTAAATGTTGAAATAACCTTGGAAATAGTACGCTCTCATTTCTTCAATTTGTGAATTCTTTCAGAGTCCAGCACAGCTCAGAACTGGGAGGCTTTAAAAACAAACCCATCTGATAAAAATCGCTTCTACATTAATGTGTGCCATGAGGTCTTGCAGAGAGGAGGTGCTTCTGGCTGTGAGGATGATGCTGCAATATGCGCAGTGGGTAAGAATTGCTCATTGTAATCTTATATGCCCGCTATGTGTTTATTTTCCTGGGTATTCTACTCCTATTTCGTATTGTTTCCTTACAGATTCTGGCGGAAGGAAAAATTTAGGAAAGTTTTTGTCTTCTCCAAAGTTAGTTGGTGATCATATCGTTCTTGAATACACAGAGGGTTCAGAGTGTGCAGGAAACAAGAGAATTCAAACCAATATCACACTTATATGTAGTCCAGGTATCTTCTATATCTATATTGTATTTTTATTGTATTTCTATTATGCATATACAGTAGGGATAGAAGGGAAAATTCAGTCTTTTCAGTATTTATTTAGTTACACATTTAAAGTAATTCAAATTTATGTAAACCATCTTTGTCAATATGGATTTGTGTTTTATAGTTTGATTATTTTTTGGTCACAGGAGCAGCCATATTTCATCATAAAATGTGCAGCTGTGCGTTGCACTTTGCAATTTTGCAATGGTTGTACTTTAGTGTGCCTTCTCAAAATGCATACAAATTGGCTGACTCGTATGCAAGAAAACAATGCACTACCTTAGGGATTGACAAATTTTTATTTGAATGCAGGAGCCAGCTAAAAACGTTTTGTGGGGGACTTTCATTTTCTTTTTTTCAGTATTTTTTTATTGTATTTATTTTTTAAACTTTTTTTACTCATTGGAGATGATAGGATCTCTTTAAGGTGTCATTAGGGGTCTATTAGACCCCTAGTGTCACCTTTCCACTTAAATAGCTTTATCTGCGGAATCACGGTTGCCTGCTGAGGCAGCTGAATGTAAACACAGCAGGCAGGGCCTGGAAGCGGTAGCCAACCTGCTATTGCAGATTGCAATAGCCAATAGCAGGCTGGCTATTGCACCCGCCCACTGCCTCCTGTCAATCAGCAGAGGAGGCAACTGAAGGAGAAAGTTGCGGCCCTCAGCACGGCGGAACTGGCACAGATCACTGCAGCCAATTACAGCCTGTCAGAGAGACTGCTGACAGTCTGTGAGTCTGCAGCAGGGGAGGAAAAAGCAGAATTATTGTGGCGGTAGCGCCGATTGGAGAAGAAACGAAGGTGCAATGAACCGTCCCACAAAAGCTCAGATGCCTGAACGCAATTTCTAGTCGCATTGGCGACCTGTCGCCTGGGATTTGTCGAGCCCTGCACTACCTAATACAGGGCAGGTCAAATTCACCTGTCAATGAATTGTAAATGATCTTAGAAGCATCTGAAATTGTTGCCATCAACACAAGCGCCAAAACCTGCTTAAACTAGCAATAAACATATATGATGACTTTCTTACAGCTGTCAGAATGATATAATTGGCTGGATAATGTGAGGATAGCTGTCTGCCATCAGGTTTTTTGGTTAAATGTAAGCGTTTACCATTTATATAACAACTCTTCATAACATCAGCATGTGTGTTATTTCCAGGAAACCTTGAAAGTCCTCCTATACTGAAGCAATCAGATAGCTGTCTGTATGAGTTCGAGTGGAACACTGCTGCAGCCTGTGTCCTGTCTAAAACAGAAGGAGATAATTGCAGAGTGTCTGATTCTCATGCTGGTGAGTTTACACATTAGTTCATTTTGTTTTCTGCAAGCATGGTCTTTGTCCATAAGCAGCTTGGATGAGCAGCAATACGTTTATATTATACTAATGTGTATTATGCAAGGACAAGTTAGTCAAGGACAGCTTGCCGTGGCGACTCGCTAACCGAAGCGGGGTCCTCGTTTGATGGAGGAGGGAGCAGAGAGCTTACTTTGGGCTGATAAAACACTCTTTTGAAATAATCGTCACTCTTTTAAAACAATCCGCCACTGTGTGTCACTGGGGGGCAACGCACCCTAAGTTAGCTGCTGAACACGCACACACAGATAAAAAAAATCTTGCAATCCAATCTGGTGCACTCTACGGGCTGTGCCTCAACCAAGTGAATACACACACTGCGATTCCTCAAGCTATCCTGCAAGCTAGAATCCTTGTGTTACCACTTTTCCACTGCTCACACACCCAGACACATGACTCGCTGTAGTGTGGCACCACCTGCAGTTTGATTTGCTAGGAAACCATACACACACACAGATCTGCTAACTTATACGCACTTACACTAATCTGCATGCAGTCCTCAGTCAATCAAAGCAATTTCATATAGAATCACAGTGTGGTTACAACCGAGCGTGCAGACATTAGTAACAATTGCCAATCTCTCTAGGAGTTTAGTACACAGAAGGACACTTATTAATTTTATAGTTTAATATCCCTAGGTGGGCAGTGCACAGAGAGGGCCTCAGATTTTTTTTGTGCTCCGATGTGCTAAAAATAAGCTTTTGAAGGTATTGCTGTAGCCATTTTAGAAGGTTTTAGAGTTGACAGATGTACCTTTTTAAAATCTTAGATACCTTGTGGGCCTTGTAAACCAATTTTGTCACCTAATAGATACAAAGATTGGTTTGTTTTCTTATAAAAAGCTTACCTTGCCTCGATAGTTTAAATTAATATGCTATAGAGTAGTTGGTTTCTGTGATGCCTTGTTTTCTTATAAATCTCTGAAAGAATTGACAGGAGTGCAGGTCTTGTATGTGCTGCTCTTTTCTTTTCCCATTTCATCCAATCCAATAGAAGCAGCAATCACCATATTATATGTATTAGATATGTGGACAGCATCTTCATCCAGCAAATAAATATTCTATTTTTTCAGGTTTTTACTTTGATCTGTCACCACTGACCAAGAAAAGTGAAAGTTATGTCGTTGCTACAGACCAGTATGACTTTTATATAAATGTATGCAGCAATGTAACACAAGAATCTTGTGACACCAGCTCAGGAGCATGCCAAATGACAAAAACGTAAGGGATCTGAATTTTTCATGTTTCTTCTGTGAAAAGTGTTTTTGGATGCCAGTAATGCATATATGTTCATTTTACAGGAAGACTGAAAAGTGGAATATTGGTGTAGGGAGTTCCAAACTTTCTTACTATGATGGAATGATTCAGCTAAGCTACACTGGAGGAACACCTTACAACGATGTAAACAAAACCCCTCGCTCGTCTCTCATTACCTTTTTATGTGACCGAGATGCAGATATTGGCCAACCAGAATATCAGGTAGCCCTGCCAGTCTTTTTTACTTTTACTCTAATCAAGGGTAAACTCCACTAACCCAACACATATGCATTGGCAAACTTCTTTTCTTCCCCAAAAACTACTAATTTAATGGTCTGAGAACCATAACCGAGCATAGTTGGATCTTCTTATAGCAGCTTTACCTTATTTTAGGTTCACACTGGGATAGGTAAACGGGAAGATGTATCATTCTATTCGACACACAAATACCTCCTAGGAAGTACAACTCCTTACTCAGGCAGATTGACAGGGTAGACCTTGTTTATTTATCTACAAGGTAAAGGTTACTGTTTTTGCCTAGTGGCATGAAGAGCCTCCACATCATTTATCAGAGGGAAATATCCAGGCTGCCCAGCCAAATTCCGTCCCTCAGAGCTTGGTAAATGTCCCATACCAATCCTGCTGAATGTACAGCGAAAGAGCAACTGTACTGTGTTGAGGTCAACTTTGTTTTTTCCCGTCCTGTAAGCATGTTTACAGAGTTAGACTGACAGCGTTGTGTAAATCATTAGGACCTTGAATGGCTCCTCGTTCTTCCAGTCAGAACACTTCTGTACAGGGGTTAACTGATTCTAAAAAAAGAGGGACTAAGTTATTTAAAGTAGCTGCATTTAGCATGCATAACAGGGTTACATTATTGTTTTTGTGTCTGCTTGAAATTCAGATGGAAATTAAAAATGAATATAGCTCTTTCTGCTTTCATAAAAAAAAAAAAAAAAGTGTTTTAGATACTGAGTTGAAACAAGTTACCTTTTAAATAATAAATTCCGTTTTTTGATTGCTTTCTCTGGGATTTTAGAAAGAAGACAATAACACATATAACTTCAAGTGGTACACGAAATATGCCTGCCCAGCACTGTCTGTGGAATGTATTGTGGTGGATGAACAGACAAATGAACAGTATGATTTGTCCAGGTAATTGTAAAATTATATTTTACTTTTATATTATATGTTTAATATTTTGTACTGCACCTTTAGTCTGGGTTCACACCTGGGCGTAGCATAGACACGTTTTTTTCAGCGTTTTTCTGTTCAGTGAAACGCGTGTTTCACGGGCGGTATGATTTTTTTTTTTTTTACTTTTAAACTTCCCACCGGCTCCGCCCCCCTGTGATGCGGCCACTCGCAAGGGACGGAACCCGGAAGTCAGCAGCCGCCGGAGGACACAGCGGGGATCGCGGACAAGGTAAGTCCTACGCTGTATTCCCGAGTGTGGCTCGGGGTTTCCGCTTTGTTAACTCCGAGCCACACTCGGGAATAACAATGGAAAAAGGGCAAAAAACTGCCCCAAAGAAGCTCCTGTACTTGTTTGGGCATAGGGCGCGTTTCCACGGGCTTAAATACGCCCAGGTGGGAACCATGCCCATTGGGATGTATGGGATTTCACTGTTTGAGCGTTTTACAGCGCTTCGATCAGCGCTGTAAAACGCCCAGGTGTGAACCCGGCCTGAAGCCCATTCTGAATTTCACAAAACAATACCCTAGAACATTTGTTTTCCAAACTGTGTTGTGTATGGCCATTTTAACTGGCTTATTGTTGTTCCAACATAAACATCCCAGTCCCCATTCCCCAATCTACTGCCTATTACTCTCTATTGGGACAGCAAATTACAGCTTCCAACATAAATGAGAACTATAGCCAAATTTTTTTTTTTTTAATTAAACTGTTTAGGTTTTTTTTGAGTCACATGTGTATATTTACTAATGTACTCCTGTGGCTACTGCCTGCTATATGCTGACAGCGCAGAGCCATGCTGCAGCTGGGAAAGACCCCGACAATATTGTCAGGATTCCCCCCGCTGCCTGATTGACAGTGGGCTGTGCCTCTCTAGGGCCAAAGCCAGCTGTGCCCGCCCCCTCCCCTGTCTGTCCCTCTAGTGAGCGCTGTAGGAACAGAGAAAGGGGAGAGGGGAATCCCTGCAGAGAGCTGTTATAGACAGTCACCGCACTTTGCGGGAAAAAGCCATGAGCTGAGTGATCAACAGTTCGTTCGAGCTATAGAGCCGGCATGTGACAGCTGCAGTGTCACACGCTGGCTTAAACTTCTGCGAAAAGTAAATTTTACTCTCCCAATAGTTCTCCTTTAATAAATGACCCATTGTCTGATCGATCCAACCAGTGAGAAGAGGTGTGTGATCCCCCATTCTGGCTGTTGTGGCTGATCTTTACTTTAGGTAGCAAAACTGTGCCCATTCCAAAACAGCCAATGTTGTGGTGATAAGAATGGTGAAAGCAGGGGGTGATGATTATCAGAGACAGTAGGTGTCAAAGGGAAAAGAGGAAGACACGGAATGTGAGTGGGGAAAGTGTTCACAGGCTTTATGAAAGAGGGGGTGCAGATACAGTGGTAAAGGAGGAGGGTGCAGCCCTGGCAGCGAAAGGGAAGAGTGGCATGTAGGTTTGGTGTTAAGGCCAGGGAGGAGGATGGTGGTTAGTTGGTGAGAGGGGGACCTATAGATGTAGTGGTGGAGGAGTGCTGGCATAGTAGTGAGAGCAGGACGACAGTGCACAGGCATGATGTTGGTTGTTTAGAGAAGTGGGTTTGCAGACACCATGGTTGCTGAGAGAAGGGTAGCTGAAGCTGCAATGTGTGCTGAGAGAATGGGGGCTCAATGGAACAGGTGTGCTGGGCGAATTGGGGCTCTAGAAGCAATTATTGCTACAAGAATGGGGCTGCAGTATCACATGTTCTGAGAAGAGGCGGGAGGACAGCTGCAATAGGTGTTAGGGAAATAGGGGGTGCTTTGTCCAGGGAGTAAGGTTGGTGTCGGGGAGGCTCTGTGACTGGGAGCGGTGATGGGTGGAAGGAAGGCTCAGTGACAGGTGTTGATGGATGACAGGGAGGCAGGAGGGTGATGTGGTTGTGAGGGAAGTGCTTTGTGATGGTGGAATGAGTTGGGTGGTATGGAGGCGGTTTGGCTGGGGAAAGGAATGGGAGGCAAAAAGACATTATTATTGAAGAGAGTAAAGTAGGCGCCTTAATTAGTGGTGTGAGGAAATTGTGGGGGGGGGTTTGCTTTGTTCAGGAAAGGAGAGGTGGGTGGGAAGGACTATGAATGGAAGAATGTGAACTGGGGATTAGCTTTCAATAGGTGGTTGAAGTAGTCTGTGAGGGATTTAGTGTGAGCCCTTTTCTATTTTATAGAAAGGTGGCTGGGACAAAGGTGCTTTTTGAAGCCTTTTTCTTTCCTGCAGCCATGTTCTGCTCCCTCTCTGGTGTGGCTACTGAAGCAAGGGACTGGTGCATTCCTTCAGGGTTGGATAGTGATGGACTGCACTGGGATAGAGGTTGAGGAATGTGCAGATTGTTGTGTAGGTGGAAGAGTCTGGGAGGTGGATTGTGGGAACACTTGTAAGTGGAGGGGAGAACTGTGGCAATGTGCTGGTGTTGGGGGTTGAGTGCTGTATGTCTTACTGGTGTTAAGCCACTGGAGGACAGGCAAAGCAGTATGTGTGTGCCTCTGTTTTTATCCGTCCCCCCAGTGGCACAACGGAAGTAGGTTTTTCTTTATATTAAGGAAGTTCATCTGAATGCTCGCGTATGTCTAATCATGTCCAAAATCCAGTTACTTTGTGATGCACAAGCCTCTTAAAGTAAACAAAAAACTTATTTGTCTTCCTGGACTGAATCAAATGTTTTCTCTAGCCTACTGTTGGACAGTTTCAACAACAGAGGCAGTGCTGTCAATCCAGAGAGCAATGGGCAGGTCTAGATGTGGCCAGGTGCTGATTGACAAGACTTATGAGCCAGCAGTGATGTCCCCTGAAACATCTTCTCACCCCACTTTAGTTCAAGCAGACACAGCCTACATAAGAGTGGCAACGCTGCTTTCAATTCAGGAGCAGTGCAGCGTCGTTGCCACACCATCATAGGAAGATGCATTAGGTGGACTTTATTGGCAGGCTCAGCAGGTATTTGTGGGACTTTGCAGGGGTGCGAATCAAAAACTGTAACTACATATTAACTTATAATTAAGTGTTGCAGCATATGTTTTTTTATTGGAAGCCATAGTTCTATTTTAATACTACATTGTGTTTTATTGGTTACTTAAGCCAAATTCTATATGCATGAAATGACAGTTCTGGCAATATTGTTTGGTTGCTAAGCTGGCGCTGGAGAGGTCTGTAAGCATTTCCTATGCCCCTCTTAATAGCATACACAATGGAGGTGCCAGTGTCTCAGGTGTGACATATCCGTTGCATCGGCACTTGCTTTGCTTAACAAGTATACCAGCCACACATCATTTTAGCAAGACTAAAAAAAAAAGTTGATTGAAGTGTTTACATAATTCTAAAAATATAGAGACAAATGCCACAGTACTCTTACTATAACTTATTGCTTCCAGTAACTGTAATGTTCTGTGTATCACCCTTCTGTCTTTCTTGCAGCTTATCTATGGTACATGGAGTACACACTACAAACTGGTTTTCCATGGATGAAAGCCACGAGAGACGGAAAAAATATTACATTAATGTATGTCGGTCTTTGATACCCATTACAGGGTGTGATCCCTTCACCTCTGTGTGCCAAATGCAATATACTAAAGTTTCTGTAAGTATAGTTTGTTCTCAGTATGTCAAAACTACAAACTGCACTTTGATCTATATGCAGCTTTCTCTGCGATAAATTAAAAATATTGGAACAATGCAAGTTAATAAATAACAGGAAATACATTTAAAGAAAAACTCTGGGCAAAACTTTTATTAGCCCTTGCAGTATGGCTACCCCCTGCAATTGCTCGTTTTTGTCTTGGTGCTAAAAAAAATACAGGTTATACTTATCTGAACAGCTGAGTCAGCTCCCGGCTTCTCGGGTCTCTGAAGCCTGCTTTCTCGTATGCTGCAGCATGGGAATATTCCTCAGCATCCCCATGTCTATACACTGTGTATAAAAGGAGCAGCTAGCCCTTGCAGTGCGGGGGTAGCACCCCAATGCAAGGGTTAATAAAAGTTTTTGCCCTTTAAATCTGATATAGCAGAATGAAATTAAAATTCCCCCTGCACTATGGCCAGTCTGGAGGTATTTGTCTGTCTAATAGAATGATACATCTTCCCTTTTACCTACTCCAGTGTGAACCTAAAATAAGGTAAAGCTGCTATAAGAAGAACCAACTTGCTCAGGGATGCGGTTCTTTAGTGCAGCATTGTATAGTAATCACTATAGTAATAGTACTCCAACAGCCACGCTTTCAATTTTCACACAAATACCCATCAGATTTCGCACTCAACAGAAAATGTGTGTCGCTTGAGAGTGATCGAAGAGCTATTAGGATGAACAACATCACAGGGAGATTGCTGCTGCTACATGTGTTTACCTGGAGAGCTGATGACCATGCGGCTGTAATACACATGTGATAGACTTTCAGAATTGCTGTTCTGACGTACAGACAAGTTATTTTCTAATTGGTTTCCTGATTCATGCTCTGCAAGCAGACCATTTTTTTTAGAGGCCCATTCACACCAGAAACGTTGGGGCTTGGCTGGCTACTTTTTTTCCAGCACAGCCCCAATGCAAAGACAAGGCCGTTTGCCTTGTTTTAAATGGCCACAGTTCACACCATGTTCGCTGAAAAAAAGATGGCACGCTGTAGTTCTTTTTTTTTTTATTATTGCAGCTTGGTGCAGCGTAGTACGACCGCATCGAACTGTGCTGTACCAATAGAAAATAATGAGATGTCACTTGTGACAGTTCAAAAAAATTGTAACAAAAAAAGTCAGCAGTGCGATGTGCCGGGCTCGGCACATTAGCTCTGTGCCTGTGAACGCACGCCAGCAGTTTGCTGGTGTGAATGGGCCCTATTATTGGTTTTGTATGTAATTGCATGACTCAAAACATCATAGCTGATTAGATCTGAATCAGGAAAATGTATCCTCCACTTCTAAAATGAGACTGGGTTTCTGACCTAAGCAGTACTGTCAGCCAGCAAGATGAAATGGAGAGAGGGAATTCAGACTTATCATTTGTGAGGTTGCCTTTTACTTACTAGATGTTCTGTAATCAAAAATAATAGTTGGCTAAAGGTATTGAGTTCAACCACTTGTGTTTTCAGGATGTGACAGCCGAGAGTGTGGAAATAAGCAATTTGGGGGTGGCAAGCAAGAAGCCTGTTCTAGAAAGTAGTGGTAAATTGATCCTGGAATATTCAAATGGATCTGCATGTACCAACATGGAGGGAGTCAAGACCACCTATTCTTCAGTATTACATCTTGTATGTAAGAAAGGGGCTACGGTAAGTGTTAAAAACTGAATGTACACATTTGCATGAACAATCTGTTTGGACATTTGTCATTCTTATTTATTATTTTTCATTTTTTTAAATTTCTATTTTGCTGATTTTTTGTTTTTGTAAGTTGTGTAATTAATGCAATGATGACATTTTTAAAGTCTCTATATTTTTTCATGGAGATCTGGCTCATGTATGAATTCTCTCTTCTATGGGGACAGTTCATACAATTCCTCTTTGTCACATAGTTTTTTTTTTGGTTTTGTTTTTTTCTTTTTTGCTGTCAATCATGACAAAGTCCCTTGTGGAATGGTTAGCATTCTGTAATAAGCATTAGCATAAGACGCTTATCTGAGCTTTCCTCCCATACTTTTCACTATTCCTGTATAAGTGGATAATGCAGCACGCATTGTCATTATATAATACAGTAAGGAACGCATTAAGTAATTTTTACTTGGCAACATCACTCCATTCACACACAGAGAGCCACACAGCAGCCTACATTGTCAGCTTCAGAGGAATTCCTGAATTCCCAAGAAGTAGAGCGGCCCATTCTCATTCAGATGAAACTTACTCTATTGAAGTTGTGTGCACCACAGAAGCTGCATCAGCTGTGACTGACATGTCTGAAAGTAAGCAGGTCTTATGGTTCTCTAAAGAGCAGTGCAGTTTTCCATGGAGCACTACAAAGAGATCTACAGGTGTGGAGTTACACTGGGCTCCAATGTATTTCTGTAAGTTTCCATGGGATATTTACTATAATGCTATGCAACTGTAAGAGAATCATTATAAAAGAACTAAAAATGTAGCTAAAATAAGTTGCCTTTCTGTTTTTTCTTTTGCAGGATAAAAGTCCAATTTTTGTCACAGATATAGATTGTGTAGCTACATTTCTATGGTATACAGAAGCTGCTTGTCCTGTTAAGGAAACACAAGGAAAAGTAAGTAATAAAACACTAATGGCAAAGTGCTTTTTTATTTTTCAAATATATTTTAGTAGCATAAATAAAATATTTTAATAGGATAGATAAATATATAATGAAGAATATTTAATACAGCCAGTGTAATTTAGGTAGTGTAATGCCTTTTAACCTCCAGCTGTTGTAATTAAACGGCTTGGCTGTGGCTTCCTAGATGCGGGTGGATGTTTTTAAATGTCCTTGTGCCTGTGCCCATTCTTGCTTGCCGCCCTGTACGAGCGGGAAAACAGTGATGCTTCTTTGCATGCAAGCGTTCGATTCCCCCAATCGCTTGTATGCTTTCTCCAAATGTACGCTCTGCCGCGGATCCCAGGCTCCGCTGTGGCCCATGCGGGCCCGGGTCTGGCACGGCGGCTCTGATCAGAGGGAGATCAGTACACAATCTCCCTCTGATCTCCCTCTGGTGTCTGAATGCAAAAGTGATGTGTATTACATCACTTCCACATTCATCTGTCATTCTCCCGGTTACAGAAGCCGGAGAGAAGCTGGTGAAGCAGATCTCTGCTTCATCAGCTTCTTTGGGGGTCCCTAGGTGACAGGGGTCTTACAGACCCCTGATGTCTCCAAAAGAGAACCTGCCACTGTAAATTTTGATATACAGCTTCTCAGCCCCCTATGTGATAGCAATAAAGTTTTATATGTAAAAAAAAAAGTTTAAAAGTTTAAAAAAAACAAAAAAAAACTTGCCTATAAAAAAACACAAAAATATGTTTTAAAGCCCCCCACTCTAGGCCACAGATTCTTAATGGAAGGATGAGCAAATCAGATTCAAATTTTTATGAACCAATTCACCCGAAATCAGGAAACCAATTCTTTCCAAGAATTTAAGAACTTTCATACAACTTATTGGAAAAACATAAGTAGCATAGTGTCTGCGGATCTGTGGTTATAGAGGCTTTTAAGAGAGAAGTCAATGCTGGTTAAGTTTTTCAATTATGCTGTGTGTACATTTTTTTTTTTTTTATCCACTTGGATAATTATCATATTATTTTCTTTATGTATGTTGTTTAAAGTGTTCTTGTTTGTTGAATGCTTAGATACTCTCTAAGATAATGCGGGACATTAATCAATTTAGTCACATAGGAAGGCAGTACTAAATAGGAGCAGAGACAGAATCTGAGACAGATGTATTATGATATTGCAGCTTGATTCATAAATTTCTATGTCAGCTGCTCTAAAGTGGCGTTGCGACAGAGTGAAACCTATTCCTCACCACTTCTTGTGCGTCTGTTGTAGTGAAAATCTGTATCATCTTTATAAGGCTTTGCAGACCTGTGCAACACTGTTTTTAAATGTCTGCCCAGTTACTGTATATAGGTGCGGGCGTCGCACATGCACAATCCTGGAAACACAAATTAAAAGATTTAAAGCCCTGTGTCTTTTTCCTCCTAAGCAACATTTTACAATGGGGGAATTTATCAAAACTGGAGCTGTGCATGGCAGCCAATCAGCTTATCTCTTCAGTTTGTTCAGTTAAGATTTGAAAATGAAAGAGAGATGCTGATTGGTTGCCATGCACAGCTGCGCCAGTTTTGATAAATTCCCCTCGGAGTATTAAAATTATACAGTATGTAAAAAGTATGTTTGTATTGTGACCATAGTATGAGACCAGGATGTATAAAACATACATTGGTTGGAATTGTTTGATGCTCTAGGGTTTTTCTCTTTAGGGTACGTTCACACCATATGCAGCGTGTTCCCGGCCCGATTCCGGCCGGAATGCGCTGCATTGCGGCCGGCTCACAATTTTGTGGGGCTGGAGGGGGCGTGGCTGGCCATTGAAGAGAATTGCACCGTAGCCACGCCCTCCGGCCACACAGGAACGCAGGGCATGCGCTGCAAGCACTATTTTGACCGCACAGAACCGCAGGCACAATGTGCCCTGTGATCCCGTGCGGGCGATCGCATTGTGGACCATTCACTTCAATGGCCCGCAACACCCCCTCCAGCCCCACAAAATAGTGAGCCGACGACAATGCGATGCAGTGCGTTCCAGGCGGAATCAGGCCGGAACGCACTGCATATGGTGTGAACGTACCCTCAAGAATTTTTAATACTTATAAATGTTAAAAGAAAAACATATATATTATACTCTGTTGTATATGGGTACCAAAAAATTGCATGCGTGTGCTACTTATACTGATTTGACAGCTACTCCAGATTATAGAGGTTGATGAAGGTTCCCAAGTCTATCTGCTATAACTCCTTAATGTTTTGTTTGCAGGACTGTAAAGTGGAAAACCCAAACACAGGATTTGTATATAATCTGGAATCTTTGAGGAATGACTCAGGATATGTTGCCAAAGGAAATGGTAAAACATACAAGGTAAACGGGCAATGTTCCAAACTGCTGGATTTTCTTATGTAAAAAGGTTATGTAAATGTTAGCAGACCTAGAGTGCCTAGGAATGCAAGTCATATGTATTCCTAGATAAATATGAGACAGCAGAAATTATAGGAACTGTCCTATTCCAATACAGCGGTTTGGCCTTGTGAGCACATTGATAGTGCTTATAAGGATTGTATAGGCTCTTCAGTGTTTTTCTAGCCTGGTCTAGTCCAGGTAACTCATTGCTAACAGTTTGTGTACCTAGTACCTTTTCGTCCCATGCAGGGCTAAGCAATTTCACTTAAATGCCTGACAACCCTACTCCCCATACACTTACTTGCCTTTCCTTCTTTCTTCTGCTACTGTATTTAGCCACATGGAAGGAAAAGATGTACTTCGAGGTTTCAGAACGCTCTTCCTCTCTAATGTCAATGCCCAGTCATCGGTGCGGTCTCATCGGAGTGGCCCTTTGAAAGGGCTGACCAACCAAAAAAAAAACACTTTTGCTGCAATAATCGTCTTTATTCCAGAGCCGTTTCCCACAACAATGCCTTTAAACGGCTAGATATCCTCTAGGTGGTTTTTCAGGGCAAAAGACGATCAGCCTGTTTTTTTTTTTTTTTTTCGTTTTTTTTTGTGGGGTTGGGTGTGGGTAGAGTTCCACTTTAAGTGAACTTGTGGCTTTACAGTGGAGCAAAAGGCGCAGCACTGGGCACGTTCAACTCGTACTTTAACCACCTCCGGGCCGGCCGGCCCGAGCTCTCTAGATCTGAGCGGGCGTCTTTAGACGTCCGCTCAGACACGCCCCCCCGCGCGCGAGCGGGATATGGCCGAAATGTAAAAACAGGCAGCGATGCCTGTCACCATACAAGTGATCCGCCGGCTGTAGAGCCGGCGGATCGCGTGTATGGGGTGCCGATCGGTCCCGTCCCCCCCCC